ATCTGTGACCTGTGACAAAAACAAATTCATATTTATTTCAACTATACCTCCATGCCTTCAAAAGGAGTCTAGGCTTGATATATATATATATACATATAATCTGTGACAAAAACAAATTCATATTTATTTCAACTATACCTCCATGCCTTCAAAAGGAGTCAGGTCTCTAGGCTTGATCTGTTTCTTCTCTTTCTTTTCTGAGTAAACAAAACACAAACAATCACTAAAGCACTTTTTATAATATTTTTTACCCTATTCTTCTCAGCCTACCAGCAGATTTCTTGCGGTTTTGCAGGTAGAACAATAACTGTTCCACCTCAGGAAGTCTGGAAGGGGAAATGAGTCTACACTCCTCCACTACCTTCCGTGCTAAAGACGCAATATCCGTGTTGGAATTCAGGCTTTTCAGACGGATTCTGCAAACGGAGGAAAGTTTTAGCTCTAAAAATCTACCACACAATCAATTTTCCTACTACTCCATTTATCTGAATGATCTTACATCTTCTGGCACTCCTTGCGTTCTCCTAGCATCGGGTCTCCCGTCTCTCCAAGGATTGTAGCTTCCACTTCATATTGGACAACAAGGGCTTTTTCTGTAGGGTGGACATCTAAACTGCCACCCTTATATTTCCTGAAGACAAAACATTACAGATTATTATTGATTATTGTTATAAATTACATACTTTTCCTACTATTTTTGAAATTGCCTATCACAGCTATGCTGATGATACCCAGATTTATGCCGCCCGCAGCTGGAATCAGCTTCCAGAAGAGATCAGATGTGCTAAAACATTAGTCACATTTAAATGCAGACTCAAAACTCATCTGTTTAGCTGTGCATTTATTGAATGAGCACTGTGCAATGTCCGAATTGATTGCACTATATTTTATGTATAATCATTTTCTATTCTTAACTGTTTTAAATTCATTTTAAACTTCTTAAATCATTTTCAAAGTTTTTAAATTCCTTGTTTTATTGTTGTGATTATTTTTTTTATTATTATTTTCTTTTCTTTTATGTAAAGCACTTTGAATTACCACTGTGTATGAAATGTGCTATATAAATAAACTTGCCTTACCTTACTTTTGAGTTACCTATGAAAGATGTTTGATGCATAAAGCTTATCTTAAAAAAAAGTAGTATTTTATTGGTAAAACAATCATGTTTTGTTATCCTTTTTGTTTTGTTTTGTTTTTCTCAGACATGTTCCCAGATAGTAACTTGTTATTGTTATCCTTCAAAGCACCCTGGAGCAACATTAAATAACACAGTAAATTAATGTAAACATTCAGTACCATTGTAAACATAGCATACGTACAAATACATTTTATTAATTCAATAACTCTGTTTAATATGATGAATGATGATATTGTGGTGATGATGATGATTATGCCCATATAACCGTCACTTGAAGACACATAAATATAAACTGATGCCATCATTTGCCTGAATATTTTGAAAGCTGTACATATATATAAAAAATTAATGTCTTACGCCTTATAAAACATTTACATGCATATATATTGTTTATATGCAGTGTTAAGCTCAAGCTCGACCACTACAGCTAATGACAGAGCTCGCTCGCATTACACAAACACTCACCGTTTTAAATATCTGGCGTCGTCCGCTTGCATTGTTGCTCATAAATTAAAGCAAATAAACCTGTGCGGTCGATTCCTGTCTGATGTTTTGACGTGTGTCTAATGTCTGGACTGCTTCATCGTTTCTGCTCTGGCAGGATGCTGCTGTTTGTGTTGCTATGGGTGTGTACTGAAATTCTGCGAAGAAGCAGAAATAAGCGGAAGAACCTCTAGCGCCACCTGTATATGTGGAGGTACGCATCGCTCACTTGGAATACACGTACAGGCTAGGCTTTTGTTGGATTTGATTTGTATTTATGTATTTATGTATTTATACGGGTATTTGTTTTTCCTCAACGCATTTTATAGTGCTGAATGTATTAGTTCAAGTCTCACAGTTTTAATTACCTATTACCTATATTTTACAATTGGAAGTGAACTAGTTATTGACAGCCTCTAAACCAGATTAGCTTGTACAAATTGCTGTCAGAACAATAAAGACTGTAAGAATAAATGATACTTTTTAACCACCAACCCAGTTTTTATACAATTGTTGGACTATTAGAAAAATGTCTTGTTTTGATATGTCTTGTTAGAAGAAACAAGTCTTAGAAAGTTTAGAACACATTAAGAAATAAAAAAATAAAAACAAAGACAAGACTTTTTAACCTGGCTTTATCCAATGTTCAGATTTCTGTTCTGGAAATGTATAAGATTTTTAATGAGTGCATTTTTAATTAAATAATCCATGATTATTGATCCATGATCTAAACATGACATTTCAGAAAACTTGTAATTAAAACTTTTTTTTGTTATACTGTGATGAATCAGCTATAGGGAAGTATGGTGAAATCTATTCGATTTTTTTAAAACTCAAACAAAATGTTTGAAATATTTACCTATATTAACATGGCTTTTTGGACCAACTTTAGGACCTGCATTATTTATAAACAGTCTTCTCTAATTGCATTGAGCATGCATTTCCAATTTAAGCACTGGTTCAGTTCTGGTTCACGAATATCACATACACTAAGGTGATGATCATTTGGCAATTTATCTAAATTTCAAACTGCAATCATATGAGTAACACATGGCCCATGAGCTGACATGACTAAAGATGAGAAGCCTGATATCTTATCCATCTTATTTCTCTCTCTCTCGCCCTATCTCTGCTTTTTCACACAATTTGTATGTGTAGCTCTAAAAAAAAAAACGTTTTAAACTAAAACTTAACAAAAAAACATGTTTTTTTTAGCAATTGTGTCATTATTGTAGCTTATGTCAATGCATGCAGACAAATGAGTGCATTTTTAATTAAATAATCCATGATTATTGATCCATGATCTAAACATGACATTTCAGAAAACTTGTAATTAAAACTTTTTTTTGTTATACTGTGATGAATCAGCTATAGGGAAGTATGGTGAAATCTATTCGATTTTTTAAAAACTCAAACAAAATGTTTGAAATATTTACCTATATTAACATGGCTTTTTGGACCAACTTTAGGACCTGCATTATTTATAAACAGTCTTCTCTAATTGCACTGAGCATGCATTTCCAATTTAAGCACTGGTTCAGTTCTGGTTCACGAATATCACATACACTAAGGTGATGATCATTTGGCAATTTATCTAAATTTCAAACTGCAATCATATGAGTAACACATGGCCCATGAGCTGACATGACTAAAGATGAGAAGCCTGATATCTTATCCATCTTATTTCTCTCTCTCTCGCCCTATCTCTGCTTTTTCACACAATTTGTATGTGTAGCTCTAAAAAAAAAACATGTTTTAAACTAAAACTTTAAAAAAAAACATGTTTTTTTTAGCAATTGTGTCATTATTGTAGCTTATGTCAATGCATGCAGACCGTAAGCAGCAACAGCATGTTCAGATTAGATCTGTCTTTGATCTTTCATCACCACTGTGAACTTGCCACCAATACTGTGTATACAAACATGAGAAGGCAGTGCTAAGAATAGACACTACATAAGCCGCTTGTCACTAGCTGTGAATGAATGCATGACTCTCTGGTTTATGTGTTGGTATGCACTAATATGCCATTCTGGATGTGTCTATATGGAACGTAAGAGAAGGAGCTTCTTCTGGAACTGGAGAAGAAGGCACCACCTCTCTTCTGAGGCAATCTTACCCGTCCCTTTCTCATTCCACCACCCCAGGCCTAAAGCAGGTGATCTGATAAGATGTGGTAGTTTTAAGCACTCTGTTGAGAAAAGAACGCTCAACCGGTCAGTAACCAGAGGACTCCTACAGATATAGCAGCACCGTGGTGTCTTCAGAGACACCTTAAGCTACACATTATCACACACACTTTGAGTCACTTTGCAGAAGATTCAGAATGTCTGATTCCACGTCCATTATGGAGTTTAGCGGGACGCATCAAGCTTTCCGAGACCGCTGGGCAAAGACGGATGATGAGATGTGCAAGCACAGTATGTCTTTCCACTTGCACAATACTCTGAGGAAGGAGTTCTTCGCCAGCTACCTGTACCTCCTGGAGCAGATTCCTCTGGGTAAGATGTGGGAGTGGGTGGCACAATGAATTGTTTGTATTATGACCCTTTGAAGTTTTCCTGCAATATTGTTGTGATGAGAACCGTAAGGCAAACATTTGGAGTATGGAGTTGTGTCAAACCATATCCACAATAAATATTTAGTCTGCATCCACTAATATTCATGTTATTGGCATATCTGTCCCTATTAAAGCTGCTTCAAAATTACATTTGCAAATTTGAGAAGATAATGTCGAACAGCTATGCCTAAACCACAATATCCAATAGGAACAATTGATTTTCACTTAACAGTATACAGTACATACTATTTATCCCACTGTACAGCCATGTGTCTATTTTAAGCATAATTGCATAACATGTATATGCATGCTGTATACTTTAAATTTTACTGAATAATAAAATATCAGCTGTGACTTTGCTATGTTGGTGCATTAGCAGCAATAACAGCATATTTCAAAGTATTGAAAGGCTTTGGAGATGGTGGTTATGTGTTAAAGTTCCTGAGCCATTAACATAAAAAATCTCAGCAAATGTTCTCCTTTAAACAGCCATGAATATTATATGATGATATGGAGTTCATACGTAGTTTTGTTGTGTTGTTGACAGTGGTCTTTGTCTGATGAATGTTAGCTTATATTTCTATCAGATGTTGGGTAGTGTAAACTGCGGAGACAATTAAACCAGTCTGTCAGTGTTACTGTGAGTTACTGGTTGGATTCAGAGGCTGGATTTATTTCAACAGACTCAATCACAACTATTTGTGTTGTTACTGAAGAGTTTGGTCTGGTATTAAAACACAGAGATCAACAGGTTTTACCCTTGGCCTTTACTCATGTACAACAACACGGGGGGGAAAATCCTCTAAAGAACAGTTGGTGTTAAATAATATGTAAAGGAATAATAAATCGAGGTAAAAAGAAATATACTGAAAAGTGTTTCTTAAATTTTAAACTGTGAACTTTACGCAAAAAAAAACTTGCAGGTAACTAAAAGCTAGCAATAGCACTTGTAGTTTTTAAAAATGTAGTTTTTAACCCCTATATAATGTATTATGTCGGTGGGAAGGGAAAAACACACAAAAAAAGCAAATTTTACTACTGGAAACTGCAAATGCCCTGCCCAGTTACAGCAAAGTTATGTTAGTGTCAGTGAAGTTCATGTAATAAATGATGTATTCATGTAATAAATGACAATAAAAGTAAGCATTAGGAGCAAAAATATTTTTGAGTACATCGTAAATTACATCAATTGCATTTTAGACCAAAAGGGAACACAATCATTCATTCATATTTTTAAAAAGACTGATATGAATTCAGAAAGTGTTTTGTGGGAGAAATGAAAATTCTGTTATCATTTACTTACACTCATGTCATTCTAAACCTTTATGATGTTCTTCATTCTGTGGAACACAAAAGAAGATTTAAAAAATATATATATATTTTTTTGGTTACATTGATTTCATTTTATGGAATAAATTAATGAATACATAAATTAATTTTTTTTTTTAAAACATACATTTCTCAAAATATAATATTTTATGTTCCACAGAAACTGTTTGGAATGACATGAGAATGAGTAAATGGATGACAGAATTAGCATTTCTGGGTGAACTATCTCTTTCAGAGAAAAATTAGAATTAATGTCTTGCTTTGGCTGAAATGTTTCGAAATACTTGCAGGTTTTAATGTTGCCTCATGACCAATAAGGCAAAGCAGATGAGTGAGTGTTAAGCTATAAAGAGGGCCAACAAAAATATACAGGACCAAAATAAAATAGTCCATAGGGAATCACTGCCCAGTGTTACTATTTTTGACTTTGAACCAGTAAACTTGTGGTTCACATATCAAACCCTGCTCACAATTTCAGTATCACAGTCCACTCGCCCTGCCAGTTCTCTCACCTATAACCCTTCAGCAAGGTCTTCCCGCTAATCATCTGGTGATCCGATGTTTGACTCCAACTTTGCAAACATGCTTTGACTTAATAACTGGTCTGTCCTTTAAGTGACCAGCCGTTCAAGAAAGCAGATGTTCCAGCTGAACTTAATAATGATCCCACAGCTGACCTTTATATTTCAACTACAACACAAGATTAGGTTTCTAGCAATTAAATCAATGGCTTGTTTTTCTCTCGTTTTTTTAGTGTCTATGTGACTGTCTATATGTTTATTGCCCTACAGTGAAACTCTATGCCGTGACTTGTGAGTACATTAAAGGGGAGAAGCAGTTTTACTACAGGGCACAGAACTTCTACAAGGATGTCCCGGCATCAGAGGAGGGCATGATGGGAGATTTTGTGGAGATATCAGAGATCGACCTTGAAGGCTCAAGACAGTTCCTGAAAAAGTTTGTTGTATGTAATTTTAATTTTATCTTTCTTACTGAATTTGTATTATTCACAAGAAAAGCCATTGAAATAAACTTAAATATATATATTTTTTCTAAGTAAAAAAAAAAAAAAAAAAGATTATTGGATTTATGTTTTACAAGAAAATACTTTTTTGGCATTTTATGTAATTAATGTGAAATTTACTAACAATTTCTAAATGATCATTTTTTTCTATGCCAATTTTTTTTTCTTCAAACATTTGTTTTCATACATCAGTTAAAAAGAGTTCATTAATATATATATATATATATATATATATCCTTATAAATATCAGACACAGCCCTAGTGAAAGATAAATATACTCAAATGTATTTGTAATATTTCATGCTAAGTATACTACAAATACATTTACATATTTATGTACTTAATGAAAATTTTACCTGCAATTGTACTTTTGGTATACTAAACTGGTATACTTAAAGTCAAATTGGAACAACTAATTTTGTGCTTAATGCACTTTAATTGTGCATAAATAGTGAAGAAGTCCAACTAAAGATATACCGAAGTATATTTGATTGCGCTAAAATGGAAATATTGCAAGTATACTTTAGGTACACTTTAATTATCTTGCATTTAAAGGCCGATATTATTAAAAAATCATACAATCCTCATCAATAGTGACATTAAAACACATTTCAGGCTTATTATCAAGAAATATTGTGCACAAGTAGTACTACAAATAATGTTTCATTATAATTTTTATATCAGTGGTATGTCAGTAAATATGATAATAGATTTGAACTATACCAAGTATGAAATAAATGTATTTTAAATGTATTACTTTTTCACTAGGGAGCCTATGACAACAGACAATCATTTTTAATTGCACATTGCCTTTTCGGTCTGCTCATACATATTCTTTAGATAGCAAGACCTCAGGATCAGAATAACCAAGCTGTACACGTCTCTATAACACTATTTCAACATGTGGTAAATTAACACATCTAAGTTGACAAATGGCATTAGCTTCATAAATAGTGTTCAGCTGTTCTGCTGAAACTTTGACCCTGAACCTGGACTAGCACTCATAATTCTTTATTATTTTTGAACATCAAAAAAAAGTGTAATCATTTATTGTGTTTTTTATTATTATAGGGTCCAGGAAAGGCTGGCACCAAGCGGGCACTAGACTGCGGCTGTGGAATCGGGAGGGTGTCTAAAGGAGTTCTGTTTCCTGTGTTTGAATCCATGGAGATGCTTGACATGATGGAAGAGTTCATCCTCCACGCTCATGAGGTTTACCTCGGAGATTACGCAGACCGAGTGGAGGCCTACTACCTTTACAATCTGCAGGAATTCAGCCCACTTACAAAGAGATACGATGTCATCTGGCTGCAGTGGGTTGCCTGTGAGTGGATGGATGGTTTTCATGGATTATTTTATGTTATGTAACATATATTTTACAGTAATGTTTTGTCTGCAATTACTATTTTAATTTGACCTGTGTTTTCTGCCCACCTACATTTGCTTATTTTAGTAGGTCCAGTCTATCTTTGCCCATTTGCTGTAATGAGAGCAGCTGAATGCTAGTCAGAGTCTTTTGTTTCAGTATACAGTTTCATCTCCCTCACTGCAGTCTGTGTACATTTGACACAGACGGCATAGATATCTATATGAAACTGCTTAAAACCATATAAAGATTTTTTAAGACCTAAGTGACTCGACAAGTAGTTATACAAAATGTAAAGAATTCTGGACTTCATGCAGCTGTTGCTCAGCTTTACATAAACAGTATCTGCTAAATGAGTTTTGGACTGTGGACATTTTGAAGTTTACACACTCTCTTTTTGTCAAGAATTACATGATTCATCAACTATTTTACATTTCTCAGGTCATCTTACTGATAAGGACCTGATGGAGTTTTTAATGCGTGCTAAGCAGAGCCTGAGGCCCAACGGTGTGATCTTCATTAAGGATAACATGGCGCGGCAGGGATGCAAGCTGGACCCCATTGACAGCAGCATCATTCGCCACCTGGACATCATGAAGAACATCATTCAGACAGCAGGCCTCACCATACTGGACGTGGAAAAGCAGGAAGGCTTTCCTGAGGCCATTGTGCCTGTATGGATGATCGCCATGCACTGAAGGAAAGACTTGGGTTAGAAGCAGAGAATTTTTTTAGAGGAATGTGTTGTACATGCACTTATGTATAGTATATATTATAAATGCATACAATTTTTTTTTTTAAATTCCATTTACCAGCTAAAACTGTAGTAATTTCAGTTTACGGAATCAGTGGATTTTTTTTTTTTTTCAAATTCTTTATTTCTTGTTTTCTTTTTAAATATCACAATAAATATCGTATCGTGGACTCCATATCGTGATATTATCGTTCGTGAGATTTTGATATTGTTACATCCCTAATTACTTAATTACTGAATTTTTTTATATTTATTTTTAATTAGCTTTTTTATTATTTATTTATTTGCATGCTTGCTTATGAGTTGGTAAATAAAGTAAACAATGCAGTATGCATGTGCCAGCCATGCAACTGACTTTGAGATAAATCAGAATTCATCTCGGGTATTCATCTGATCCTTTTGTTCTCCTGAAGTATAATGGAGCTAATATGTGATATTGTAGCATGTTTTTAAATAAAGATATTAATGTAAAAGCTATTTAACTATTCTTATATTCTCAAGGTTTAAAAGATAAATGTTTAGATAATTAAGATATACTGTAATTGGGAACCGTAACTCATACCTCCCACAGTATTTGAAACCAGTAGGTGCTATTAGTGCTGACATTGTTTGTGCTGACATGATCTGAACCAAACCAAACAGACTAATGAGGTATTGCCATGGAGATGATATCTGATTTGTGCACTTTACACCGTACAGACCTTTCTAGATATTTTTCACTACCACTGCAGACAGATCAAAAGGAGGTCTTCCCTTTTGGGTTCTCCCAATTGTGATTTATGTCTCAGAAAGACTGTAGACATGAAAGATCCTATCCCCCTTGGACCCCAAAGTCAATTCTTTGGCTGATACAAAAAATTACACTCTATTTATGGGTACTCTTCTATCCTGTGCCTGATTAGACATTATATAAAATCAATTTAAAGTACAGTAATTAATGTTTGAATGAGAATAAATTAAATGTATACACGTATATAGCCAAAAAAAGTCAAAAAATAATACATTTCCCTTTCTTTTTTTAGTTGGTCTTCAGTTAGCAAGCTAGCTTACTAGCTTAGCATAGTGCTACCTGGTTAAAAGGCTTTTTGATTAGCTACAAGAAGATTTCAAGCTCTGTATTCGAACAGACATTAAGAAAGGGTGGATAGAATCTCGTACTACACGGTAATGCAGTTCCTCACAGATGTTTCTGGCAGATGGCCTAGGCCTCGGTTGACGTGTATGTTTGCTTTCCACTCTGTGTGTACTCTTAAGTCAGATACATTACAGTAATCCAGTCTCAAGCACAAAACCACTCATAGTACATATTACGAGCCATGATAGACTTGCGCTATCCACCCATCATGGTAGCGGTGCAAAAATAGCTCCAGTGGCTGGGAGAGAGGTGTTTGAGTGGAAATGTGTGTGTGGGTAGGCAGAATGGAGAAGCATGTGTTCATGAAGGTTGGAAATAATGGCAGGAGAGGATAATTGGACAGCTTTTACCCTGGACGTTAGCCACTCCGAGGCGCTCCAGTGGGTGCATAACTGCTGCCACCCAGGAATGCTCCGAGTCCTTGAAGACAAGAGAGTTACGGCAGTGATTGTGTTAGATGCAGCAGTCTGCGCTGAGAACACCATCAATCCAGTTCACCTCGCCTCGTACCTCTGGCCTACAGGTGGACTTTGTGAATGAGGATCTCTCCATCCGTGGAGAACCCTGCAAAGAAGACCCCAATTATTTATGGACATTTCACATAGAGCTTTAGATGAGCCTGCAGATTTCCAACCTTCCCACAAAGAAACAAGCTGTCGATTCATTCACTTCAGATCCCAGTTACACTGGAATATGTCATAGGATTGATAGATGCATGCACACATAAGGTATTCCTCGCTCACCCTTGCTCTTTCTCTATAATTTATCCCCTAATGTTTTTTCTCTGCTTGCCTGACAGAATCCTGCCCCTGCATCCGTTTTTCCCTTTCTGTCTTTCCTCTCTCCAGTGTGTCCTTCTTCCTGCTGGAATATGGCTGCATCAGCGATTCCCACCTTCATTCTTTGAATGAGATTAATGAAAGGCCAGCCTGCTTTAGTTTGATGCTGTTAATGTGTTGTTTTTAAAAAAAAGCAAGCAGGTGGTTTTGTTCGCATTTGTTTTATCAGCTCGTTCCATAGGTGTTTATAGATGCAGAGTCTTTCAAAGTATTTAAACGTTTAGAAATGTGTAACCCAGCGCTTTGTTGCATCCAATTTGAAAGGGAAAACATGACTTTAATTCTTGCTGCCCACTTTTTTTTGTCTAATAACATTTTAGTTGACATGAATGCAAAATTAAATCAAATTTTCAAATAGATTATATTAAAAAAATGTCATCTTATTTGGTTTTTGAAAATTCCGAAACTTTTGAACACACTCTTGTCAGGACACACTCTGTTTTTTTTTTGTTTGTTTTTTTTAAGCAGATTAAATGCTTTTATTCAGAAAAGATGCATCAAAAGTGATCAAAGACATTTATAATGTTGTGAGATTTCTATTCTAAATAAATTCTGTTCTTTTTAACTAAATCTAGTAGTCAAAGAATCCTGAAAAAAGTATCAGTTTTCACAAAAATATTAAGCCGCATAAATGTTTTCCGTATTGAGAATAAGAAATAAGTAATTCAGCTTTGCTATTACAGCAAACAAAAACATTATTTTAATAAATTTGATTAACTTTTATTTAATTTTATTAATGCAGCCTGGGTGATCATAAGAGACTTCTTTTAAAAAGTTTAAGTGTAGTAGCAAACATTCATTTGAGTTGTGTGTATTCTGTTGAGAAAGTGTATTGAGAATTATATATTTTTGTCATGTCCAACTGTCCGACTATATGCAATTCACATTGGCATGCTTGCCTTTGTATCCTTGGAACATGTGCAGATACAGTATTAGCTTCCATGATTATTGGAGCCCTTGTCTGAAATCCAAATAGTACCATCCATGCTAATGTGGCCAGTTTAATGTTAACCCCAATTGTAGTTTAGTGCTGAGCGCTGTGGTGTGGGACACAGAGCACTGGTAGCTCTCTGATGTGTGGTGATGGTGGTTGGACGGCGAGGTTCATTATTCATGGCCTGACATTCCATTTAATCACATTTTATTATGAAGCAGTGCAGGACTCAGTAAATCAGCCTGTGCCTGGAGCTCCTGGAGGAGGGCGGGTGGGGTGTTTACGGATGGCTTTAATCAGGAGAATTTCTACAGTGACACCCCCTTCATAACACACACACACACACACACACACACACACACACACACATTTTGAGCACACACTCATGCTGGTACTCACGCTAAACGACATATATGCAAATATACACACACTTATATTATCAACAGACTGCATGCAAATACAGACTTTATGCATACACACAAACAGAAAAACACTGAAGCGCATACACACAGACTTCGAAGTCCAATCTGTCTTTCCTCCCTCTTCATTGAACTCTGTAAAGCACCACCTGTTCTCCTTCTCCAGTTCTGTATTTTTCTCTTCCCTCTTCCTTCTCCGGCGTCCCTGCTCTCTTCCCAAAGGAGCACCTGGGATAATTGGAGAGATTCTAATGGAGAATCTGGACTAGATGCTGCAGTACTCATCCATGTGGAAATGTCTCCTAATGGAGGCCGCCTCTGGCCTCAGCACTCCACCGCTTCCTGCCCAGACCTGCCTCATTTGGGCAATCTTTAGTTCATCTGTTGTGGTATCACGCTAGTGCCTTTCTCTTACCTTCTTGGCCTGGAGGTGAACTTAAGTGATGATCTCCTGTTTGGTCTGAAAATGGGAGAAGTATTTGTGTATTTTATGTCTTTTCAGAGGCAAACCTGGAAGCAAGAACATTGCGGCATCTTTAAAAAAAAAATTGCATTCTGTTTTAATGGAATAGTTCACCCAAAAAATTGAACTTTTGCTTGAAGTTCTGCATAATGATTTTTGGAAAAAGTTTACTTTGTGCTCTATGGTTAAATAACAATGTGATTTTGGAATTCCATGAGTGTGACAATTAAATGTTTTAAGCTTTGTATACACCATATATAGTATTAAGATCTGTTAAATTTTTTTTGGAAAATCTCTCAGCACAGCTGCATTTTTTTATTACAAAAAAAGTAAAAACTGTAACATTGTAAAATATTATTACAATTTAAAATGGCCTTTTACTATTGTAATATTTTATATTGTCAATTGTGATAAAAAAACATGATCCTTCAGAAATTAGTTTAATATACTTGGTGCTTAAGATTTCTTATTTCTTATTATGATCAATGTTGAAATCCATAATGCTGTATTTGTGGTAGTCGTGACACTTTTTTTCATCATTCCTTTATGAATGCTGTTCTATTGAAAGAATATTAACATTATAAATGCCTTTACCTTCACTTTTGATCAATTTTATGCATTCTTGCTGAACAAAAGTAACCTATTGCGAGTTTTCTTGCGAAAAAGTTTGAGTGGTAGTGTGTGTTCTGAATCCTTAACTTGATAAAAAGCCTGTTTATGGGTCCTTGAGAGGGTGAAAAAAATGCTCATTATACGTAGCCTTCTAAAGAATAAAAAATAAATAAAAGGAGTATGACCTAGCGCTGTCGCGGTGAGGGAATTTCCCATGTGGTAATTTTGAGTGGCTCAATAGCGTGGTATGCGGTATTATCGCCATATATATATATATATATATATATATATTTGGTTTCGGTTTCATTGTCTTCTGAATATGACCTCGTTAGTTATATCGTAACACATACACACACACAAATTA